CGGCGGGGGCGGGTCCGGCGGCTTTGCTGAACCCCCCCAGCAGACCAGGGAGACAGGAGCAAAGCCACACGGGCGGGGTCCCTCCGCATGTGCGGCTTTGCTCGGGTCTCCCTGGTCTGCTGGGGGGGACTCCAGCAGACCAGGCTTCTGTTGCGGGATGCCTCGGGTAGAGCAGCTGGGGTGCTGCCGGGTTGGTCCTGTGGGAACCTACTGGGCAGCGCCCCAGCTGTTCTGTCCCAGGCTCCAGATTCAGCAGCTGTTGAAACTGATCAGGCTGATTCCAGGAAGCTGGGGGCAGAGCAACTCTGCCTCTGGCTTCCTGTAGTCAGCCCCTGGTCAGTTTCAGTGGCAGCAGCTGAATCTGGAGCCAGTTCCGACTTACATACAAATTCAACTTAAGAACAAACCTATAGTCCCTATCTTGTACGTAACCCGGGGACTGCCTGTATTGTAAAAATGGTAGTCATTTGTAGAAGGTAGGAAAATTGCAGACTTAAACGAGTCTCAGAGAAAGGCAAAGGGAATGATCAAAGGCTTGGGTAAAGCTCTTATATAGAGAGAGAGATTGAAAAGATTGGGAATGTTTACCTGAGTAAGGAGATGAACAGAGTGGACATGATAAAAGTATATAAAAGCATCTCTATGAATACTCTAGACAGACAGATCAAGAGCATCTGTTCTGCCCGTCTCAACTCAAGGACAAGGAGACATTCAATCAAACTATAAAATGGCAAATTCAAAAGTACTGCAGGGAAATGGTTTTTCACAGAATATACAATTGGATTGTGGAACTCTTTGCCACAGGACTTCATCGCGACCTAGAACATATCAAGATTCAGAAAGGAACTAGATATTTATAGGAATAACAAGAATAATAATGAGTGATGGTTTTTTGTGGGTCAAACCACTTCATCAGATGAATTCGAGCGGAAATAACAGAAACCAAGACATAAACTGCAGAATAAGTACCTATCAATTATAGTACCGTGTTAACAAGGGTAGGGGGACAGCAGCCACGCACTCCGGGACGTGGCTAGATTCTCATCCCATTCCCTGGAAGCTAAGGGAGTGAGGGGAAAGTACTTGCATTCCATGTGTGCCTCTCACACCTGGTTGCTCCTCACTCCCTTAATATCTGAGGAACTGGATGAAAAGCAAGCCGTGTCCGAGTGCATGGCTGCTAGCCTCCTACCTCCCCCCCAAAAGGAGCCCTTGTGTATTAATGAGGCTACTTAAGTGAGATAGATTTGTCCTTTTCATGTGAAAATGCAGATGTTAAAGGCAGGAGAAACTGACTTTGTAACACACCAACCAGTTAATGAGCTTCAGGGAGTAGCCAAGTTAGTCTGTTACAGGAGAAAAAAAACAACAAATGGTCTGGTAGCACTTTATAGACTAACAAAACATGTAGATGGTGTTTTGTTAGTCTATAAAGTGCTACCAGACTATTTGTTGTTTTTTTCAACCAGTTAATGTCTTTGTTCAAGCCCACGGTAAAGGTAGATGAATTCCAGTTCTGCAGATTCTCTCTCTAATTGGCTGATGAAATTCCTTTGTAGAAGAATGGCTACTTGAGTAACCAGGCAGGCTAAAATGTTCCCCTACAGGTTTAGGTGTGTTACCATTTCTGATATCTGATTTGTATTGAACGTCATGTTTCAGGGCTTAGGGCACTCTCTTACCACTAGAGACCAGGGTGACACCTAATGTGAAGAGCAGATTTTTTTCACCTCAGCATAATGTGGGGTCCTTTTAGGGATGTTAAATTTAGATTAATTAACTAATCGAATAGTTGATGGGATTTCTATTGGCTATTTGATTAGTTGATAAGGGCACCTTCGCCTTTGAACTGTTTCAAGAGCCCTGCTGGGCTCTTGCTAAGGTTCAAAAATGGAAGCCCCGCAGGGCTGACCCCGTGTTCCCTGCAGCGCCTGTGCCTTTGAATTGTACAAGAGCCCTGCGGGGGCTCTTGAACATTTCAAATGCAGAATTGCAGCAGAACCAGCGCGAGCTGAGACTCTTTCAGTCCCCGCTCGCACTGTTTCCCTCTGTGCCTCTACCTTTCCCTGCCCTCATGGAGCTGATGCTGGGGGGAGAACCGGCTTTTAAGCCGGCTCCCCCCAGTAGTGGCTCCTGAGTCCCCACCTTGCTGTCTCTCTCTAAGGGTATGTCTACACTACCCTCCTAATTCGAAATAGGAGGGTAATGTAGGCATACCGCAATTGCAAATGAAGCCCGGGAAATTCAAATCCCGGGCTTCATTTGCATAAAGCCGGCGGGCGCCATTTTTAAATGCCGGCAGTTCGAACCCCATGCCGCGCGGCTACATGCGGTACGGAGTAGCTAGTTCGGATTAGGCTTCCTAATCCGAACTAGCTACTCCGTACCGCATGTAGCCGCGCGGCATGGGGTTCGAACTGCCGGCATTTAAAAATGGCGCCCGCCGGCTTTATGCAAATGAAGCCCGGGAAATTCAAATCCCGGGCTTCATTTGCATAAAGCCGGCGGGCGCCATTTTTAAATGCCGGCAGTTCGAACCCCATGCCGCGCGGCTACATGCGGTACGGAGTAGCTAGTTCGGATTAGGCTTCCTAATCCGAACTAGCTACTCCGTACCGCATGTAGCCGCGCGGCATGGGGTTCGAACTGCCGGCATTTAAAAATGGCGCCCGCCGGCTTTATGCAAATGAAGCCCGGGAAATTCAAATCCCGGGCTTCATTTGCATAAAGCCGGCGGGCGCCATTTTTAAATGCCGGCAGTTCGAACCCCATGCCGCGCGGCTACATGCGGTACGGAGTAGCTAGTTCGGATTAGGCTTCCTAATCCGAACTAGCTACTCCGTACCGCATGTAGCCGCGCGGCATGGGGTTCGAACTGCCGGCATTTAAAAATGGCGCCCGCCGGCTTTATGCAAATGAAGCCCGGGAAATTCAAATCCCGGGCTTCATTTGCATAAAGCCGGCGGGCGCCATTTTTAAATGCCGGCAGTTCGAACCCCATGCCGCGCGGCTACATGCGGTACGGAGTAGCTAGTTCGGATTAGGCTTCCTAATCCGAACTAGCTACTCCGTACCGCATGTAGCCGCGCGGCATGGGGTTCGAACTGCCGGCATTTAAAAATGGCGCCCGCCGGCTTTATGCAAATGAAGCCCGGGAAATTCAAATCCCGGGCTTCATTTGCATAAAGCCGGCGGGCGCCATTTTTAAATGCCGGCAGTTCGAACCCCATGCCGCGCGGCTACATGCGGTACGGAGTAGCTAGTTCGGATTAGGCTTCCTAATCCGAACTAGCTACTCCGTACCGCATGTAGCCGCGCGGCATGGGGTTCGAACTGCCGGCATTTAAAAATGGCGCCCGCCGGCTTTATGCAAATGAAGCCCGGGAAATTCAAATCCCGGGCTTCATTTGCATAAAGCCGGCGGGCGCCATTTTTAAATGCCGGCAGTTCGAACCCCATGCCGCGCGGCTACATGCGGTACGGAGTAGCTAGTTCGGATTAGGCTTCCTAATCCGAACTAGCTACTCCGTACCGCATGTAGCCGCGCGGCATGGGGTTCGAACTGCCGGCATTTAAAAATGGCGCCCGCCGGCTTTATGCAAATGAAGCCCGGGAAATTCAAATCCCGGGCTTCATTTGCATAAAGCCGGCGGGCGCCATTTTTAAATGCCGGCAGTTCGAACCCCATGCCGCGCGGCTACATGCGGTACGGAGTAGCTAGTTCGGATTAGGCTTCCTAATCCGAACTAGCTACTCCGTACCGCATGTAGCCGCGCGGCATGGGGTTCGAACTGCCGGCATTTAAAAATGGCGCCCGCCGGCTTTATGCAAATGAAGCCCGGGAAATTCAAATCCCGGGCTTCATTTGCATAAAGCCGGCGGGCGCCATTTTTAAATGCCGGCAGTTCGAACCCCATGCCGCGCGGCTACATGCGGTACGGAGTAGCTAGTTCGGATTAGGCTTCCTAATCCGAACTAGCTACTCCGTACCGCATGTAGCCGCGCGGCATGGGGTTCGAACTGCCGGCATTTAAAAATGGCGCCCGCCGGCTTTATGCAAATGAAGCCCGGGAAATTCAAATCCCGGGCTTCATTTGCATAAAGCCGGCGGGCGCCATTTTTAAATGCCGGCAGTTCGAACCCCATGCCGCGCGGCTACATGCGGTACGGAGTAGCTAGTTCGGATTAGGCTTCCTAATCCGAACTAGCTACTCCGTACCGCATGTAGCCGCGCGGCATGGGGTTCGAACTGCCGGCATTTAAAAATGGCGCCCGCCGGCTTTATGCAAATGAAGCCCGGGAAATTCAAATCCCGGGCTTCATTTGCAATTGCGGTATGCCTACATTACCCTCCTATTTCGAATTAGGAGGGTAGTGTAGACATACCCTAAGAGAGGCAGCAAGGGAAGGGAAGCGACTAGCTGACTCCTCGTTTACAGCCCTAGTCCTTACACTTTCCTCTGACACATCTGGCACGGAAAACTGTCAGAGACAGGATAGGGACTAACTGGACCTCAGATTTAATCCAATGTGGAGATACCTATGGCCTATGTTCCTAGAAAGGAAAAGTAAGATCTGCATCTGTTAAAAAGGACCCAAAAGACAAATGTACTTACTGCTGTCGTATATTGCATCTGATATGACAGGGTCAAGCCTTCTTGTGAAGCTGCCAGTGCTGTCCGGGAGGAAGGCTGTGAACATGAGACGCACCACACTGAGGTCCATCTCTTTAGTCTGCTGAAGTGCTGCCTGATGGATGATCTCTCTTTCCCGCTCTGGAACAAATCAATAGCAGAGATAAACTCACACAGCAGAAGGAAAAATAATTCTATCTAAAAAAAAAAAAAAAAAAAAAAAAACCTGATAAAAGCTGCTTTGTATTTTTTTTAAAAACCATGAGTATCAATCCTTATTTTTATTTGGAACATTATAAAAATGTAATTTACTGCATACTGCACTCGTAATAAGTGGAATAACATGCAATTTGTTGACTGTATATTATTATTTGTGGTGCATCCAAAATTGTGCCTGGTACATTGCAAACATAAAAAAACAAAAAACCCACGCACTGTCCCAGCCCTGCAGAGCTTACAATGAGTGGAAATATGATAAAGGAAGACAATATCAGATAGCACCGTTAATTAAGCAATCATCACATTTAGAAGCTGGCACTAAACAGCAGTAAAATAAGTAAGTGTTCTTTAACTTCTGGCTGTGATGTAGTCAGGACTGGATTGGTTCCTTGGTCCTTCTCTAACTCTCTGGGGGTATGTCTACTCTAGAAAGTTAGTTCGAACTAACGGACGTTAGTTCGAACTAACTTTCCTATGCGTTACACTAGCGCTCCGTTAGTTCGAACTTAATTCGAACTAACGGAGCGCTTAGTTCGAACTAGGTAAACCTCATTTTACGAGGACTAACGCCTAGTTCGAACTAGCTAGTTCGAACTAAGGGCTGTGTAGCCCTTTAGTTCGAACTAGTGGGAGGCTAAGGCTTCCCAGGTTTCCCTGGTGGCCACTCTGGCCAACACCAGGGAAACTCTATGCCCCCCTCCCAGCCCCGGACCCCTTAAAGGGGCACGGGCTGGCTACGGTGCCCGTGCCAGGTGCAAGCCTGCCAGCACCCAGCTATCCGAGGCCCCCCAGCCCTCCACTGCTCCCCACGACCAGCCTGGCGGCTCCCGGGAGCCTGCCCGGGGGTGCAAAAGGCGGGCGCCCGCCTGGTCAAGTGCGGAGATCGTGGACCTCATCGAGGTTTGGGGGGAAGCCTCCAATGTCCACGATCTCTGCACTAGCCACCGGAACGCGGCCATCTACGGACACATGGCTGCCAGTCTGGCCGCCAGGGGCCACCAGCGCAGCCGGGAGCAGGTGCGCTGCAAAATAAAGGACTTGCGGCAGTCCTACTCCCGGGCCTGCCTGCCAGGGGCTGACCCGGAGGCCTGCCCCCACTTCCATGCCCTGGACCGCATCCTGGGGCCTCATGCCGTCCCTGCCCCCCGGGACGTGATTGACCCCGTGGCAGAGGGACCGCTCCTGGACACCGAGGAGGAGGAAGAGGGCTCTGAGAGCCAGGAGCCTGCTGGCAGCCTTCCCAGGACCCGGGACCCCCGAGGCACCCCACAGAGCCGCTCGCCTGCATCATCAGAGGCCGGGGAGGCGTCCACCTGTGAGTACCCTCGTGTTCCCCTTATGTGTACGGGGGCTGGGGCGAGAGGGAGCCCCGGGACCGTGCGCCTGGGCCTTGCCCACCACGGAGCAGCAGCTGGGGATCCTGCAGG